CACTGTGATATTTCTTAAAAATTTTAAAGGACTTGGCTTAGTCAGACAAAATAAGAGGATGTCAAACACAAGTCAGTACAAAAAAATGATTTTGTTGCTAGGACACCGTGTCTTCTGTCATGGGCTTATTTCTTTAGTCTGACTTTGTTGTATCTCTTGGTTCATACCTGTTTCAATTAATAAATCTGAAGTTTGTGGTTTGTCTTTCATTAATTAAATTCCTAAAATTCACAATCCATTCTTCACAACTGGCTTTAATCAAGATAACTCCTCCTGTCATTTCCAGACTCAACTTTCAGAATGTTTAGTTTAGCAAAAGTATTGATCTAGAAAAGAAGGGCATTCGTTGTTACACTATATTTCAGCAATAATCAGATGTCTGACAGGGATATTCTAAAATCTGAAATATAAAAGAATACAATGAGAATGCAGCTGGTTATTCTTTTTTGAAAACATGACTCTCAATTTTATGATTCTGCTTTCTTGTGCTTGACTCTGTTTCATGTTGCTGATTTACATATATCAAAATCCAGGCTTATGAATCTGATCCCCAGCTCTGAGTGCTTCTTTTACTTAATGATTTGATTTGACATTCATGAATCTGGATTGTGTCTGAAAATAATCCTGACATGGTTACTCAAGAAGGACCTCGATTGGCAAAGAAAACTAATATAGTCAGATCAGACTATTCCTATGCACAAGCACCTATTGACTTCTCGAATTAGTGCCTGTCAGCTTGGCACTGATATTTCACTGAATTTATTTGCATATACAGCAGACATATGATATCAGGGGAAGTTCTATTGTAGAGCTGAGAGCCTCTTTATAAGAAATGAGAAGGAATGAAAATTGAAAACTCATTTATGAAAAAAGAACATTCTCTCTTTTCATTACCTACAACAGGGCATTTAAATAAATTTTTGCTCTTATGGCCAATGTAATTTTAGGCAGAAATATCCAAATTTTGTAAATTTTGCAGTATGGGTTCAACACGAGCCTCCTATTTCAGCCTCAGGTGTAATCACACTCAGCTGAATTATTTAAGTAATTTGTGCACAGAGTGTGACCAGTAGTGACTTTACAAATATGTGGACAAATACACTAATGAGTCTCATATAAGAAGAGAAGTTGATTTCCATTATTCTCATATGTGAGCTGAATTGGCTTCTATATAACAGAATATGGCAGAAGGGATTATATATCACTTCTGAAATTAGTTTATTAAAAGCTGCAAAGAACTTTGGCTCATGATCTCTCCTCTCTCTCTCTTTCTCTCTCTCTCTCTCTCTCTGCACTATTCTGGGGCAAGCAATATGGAAAGACTCAAGATAAGAAACTTATGACTCCTGAAAACTGAGTATATTACAGAACTAAATCTCTTTTCAACCAATTGTTCAGAGATTTTAGCCCTGGCTAACAGTTTAATGGCAATCATAAGAATTATTGTGAACCAAAATCATCCCATCACACTGTTACCAGATTATCGACTATCAAAACCTATGTAAGGTAATCAATGTGCTTTAAGCTGCTGTCTCCCAGTAATTAGCTTCAAAACAACAGATAACAAATACTTCCATTATGGTGATGTCTTCTGTCATAATTTGTAGATAATGTTATGGTGTTAAGGATATTCTAGTCTTTACTTTTTTAAAGTTAGAAATTGATGTTAGTTCATATCAATCAATTTTATGAATCTTTGGAGATAATGCCATAGTTTTTTTTCTTTAGTCTGTACATGCCACAAAACATTCCCTGATGTGTGTGTGTGTGTGTGTGTGTGTGTGTGCGTGTGTGGTAGTGAAGATTGGACCCCTGCCGTAGCACTGAACTATATCCCAGGCCCTTTTTGTTTGTTTGCTTTGAGACAGGGTTTCCCTAAATTCCTAAATCACCAAGATTGAGCTTGATTTTATAATCTTCCTGCCTCAGTTTGCAGGCGTGCACTATTACACTGGCTACATAGGAATTATGTTTTCCCCTTCTCAAATTTTCTGGAAGGGACTGTGTGAAATTGATGCTATTTGCTCCTTAAAGTTTGCTAGAATTCTTTAGTGAAAATGTCTTGTGGAATTTCATTTATAGCGGAAGTTTTTATATTTAATTTATTTTCTGTCTATGTATAGAACTTTTTACCTCCTTACCTATTTGTTTATTTTTTCTTCTCTTTTTGCTATTACTTGGGTTTCATGTTACTATTTCTCCTTTTTCTGTTCCACCGGCTATACAGGTATTAGTTGTCCTGTCTCCATAGTCTCCTTTAGGCTTTGCCAGTTTCTTAATCTTTCCTTGCTTGACATAACCCTGACACTTGTAAAGACTAGTGCTCAAGTATTTTGTAGTTTCCCCATAGACAGAATTTATTTGAGCCCTTTTCATCATGATACTGAGGTTATGGATTTGTGTGGAGGGAACTGCAAGATAAAATGCCTTTCTCATCATATCAAAGGCTACAGTTCATCAGAATGGCATCACTGGTAATATTAACCTTGACCACTTGGTTAGGGTGGTACCTGCCTGCTTTATTTCCTCTAGAGTTAACATTATCCTTTTCCATACTTCATTAGATTATTGACTCTAGACCACATGCTTAAGGGGATGTGAATTAAACTGTGCTTCCTAGAAAGAGAAGGAATCAAGGAATTAGTAATTTGTGGATTTTAAAAAAACCACCATAGTAATTAATATGTAAAGGCCCTACTATGCTTAGTAAAAACAAGAAAATCATGGCCCTTCTTTGAAATCTAGGATTTATTCCTTCTAGTTCTTTGGGGAAGTTCTATTCTTGCCTCAAATTTTCTTTTGGTGGAGGGTGGGGGTGTTGTACAGGAATTGGACAAGTCTATTGTATTTCATTTCTACATGTTTATAGTATATAATGTTTGCAGTCTCTGTGTGGAACTGGTACATGCACATGATGCATCTTAATTTCTTTTTCCATCCCTTTTCCCTTCCCTTCCACACATTTCTATCCCTTTCCCTTTTCCTGTACATGTTTGCAGTACGTGTTTACATTTTCTACACTCAGATGTTGTTCAGTATCCATATGAAGGCTCAAGGCTGACCCTCTACTCTGTGAAGCTCTTTTTTCTCTAGTGCTCTGATGTCCCCTAATCCTGGGATCTCAGTTTCACTGCCACACACAGACAGAACACAGTGCTCTTTCTGGGTGTCTTCTGCTGCACAGTGGCCTATAACTTACTTCCCGGTAGTAGTCTGGACAGTCATTGGGCTTGCTTTATTTATTTCCTACCTCTCCAGTTTCACTGTACTTCAGTCCCTGGTATGTAATAATTTGAAGGCCATTATTTTATATTTTCTTTTTCCTGTTTGTCCTTTGGGACAAAAAGCTTGGTCCCTATTACTACATCTTTGCTAGCAGCAGTCTTTCCCTGTCTCATTGCCTAAATAACTTGGAAGATCAGAAAGCTAGTATATTTATGGTCATTACCCGATTGCATATTGATCTAAATCTATTCTACTGGTTCTTTTTCTCTGTAGGACAATAACTATTACACAAAATTAAACTTTTCTTGTTCATATATCTATTCAAAAACTTTTAAATTTTTTTCTATTTCCCATCAATTGATATCTAACCTATTCAACTTGACATTCAAGCTATGTGAAATATTGTGCATCATACTTTTCAGATTTCATATTCCAGTGCCTATATTCAAGCTGTTTCCTAGTAAACCTGAATTGCTCATAATTTCTGCATGTATGCCTCCATTTCTTTGCATAATTTCTTTTTATCTCATTTACAGCATCTACCTTAAGTTTTCTCTTCTGACATTTCTGGTTGTTAAGCTCTATCACTTCCTCCATGAAGTCTTTTCTGATAGTTTTACTCATATTAGCTCCTTTTTCTTTAAGCTTCTCAACTTCGTATTCAAATGTCTTTTGTGGTATTCATAATATTCTATCTTTTATTATGTCTACACTGGTTTATAATCTCTTTTGGAGCTTTTTCTATTATTTACTATCCATCTACTTAATAAAAAACTGTGCTGCACTTAATAGGCATTCAAATGTTTATTGATTTACCTTTGATTTTTAATATCAGATTTACAACATAATCTGTTCTCTGATACAAAAATTTAGTAGAACTTTTCATTCTCATAAATATTGTGTCTTTAGCCATTATACTGACTTGAATATTTAATGTGGCTTTTCTTTCTCCAAAGAGGGTATTTTAAAATAACAATGAAACCTCCAGTGCAAGTATCATTATAGAGTTTCTTCAGAGGTAAGAATTATAATAAAAGGTTTGCCACATAAATTTCAACTTAAGCTGAACTGTCAAGAGGCAGCAAAGAACACAAGTTGTCTTTGAAAGTTAAAGGCTTCAAATTTTCATTGTTTCTTAGAATTCATATTTCATATTAAGATGCTCTGCGAAGCAACTAGCTTTGTCCTGCTAGCATTTTAAATAATTAATGCAATTCAGTTTGTTCTGTGTGCACAATTTCTACATTATATTTTTTAAATCCCACATAAATACAATGTTTATATTAATACAAAGCTTAATAAAAACATTATATTTTTTACAGTTTTTTTGTGAGCAACAAAATTACGTAGTAAGACTGGATAGCATGTTTAACCCATTATATTTGAAGCTACTCACAGAATACTTATATTTATGTATAACTCTTTTAAATTTCCTATTCCTATTTAGCAAGATGCAAAATATAATTCTCAGTTGTTTCTCTTTATCCTTGTTTATAATTTTTAAATTACGCATTTATAACAATATATTTATTATATATATATTATGTTCTAAATATTCTTTGTGATTTGGCCTATTTCTAACATACATGTTATTTTATGTCATAAGTATACATATGTCAATTTGAGCATCTCTTGTGAAAAAACGTACCTAAGTACTTAGAGGATAAATTGAGTGACAACTCAAGATCCCATAAAAGAAGAGTGAATTTACAGTATTTTCTTTCAGTCAGTACCACTCCCAAGATAAAAATTCTACCATTCTATTTCCAACTTACTTGTTATTTTGGTCACAGGAGTGGATGAATATTGTGTCTTCCTCGTGCCCCAACACAGTTTCTGTGATGAAAATATGGTACAGAAATGGTAATGTTTTATATATTTCTGACAGTAGTAACGCACAGTTCTATTTTGACCTTTCCAATGTGATATAGATCGATTAGCTGGGTACTTTATTTCTTTCTTTGTCTACTACTGTAATAGTCTATTAAGGAAAAGGGCAAAATGATCAATCAATCAAACTTTCTAATGGGTTAGGTAATATTCCTCCAATTCTGTCTAAAATAGGCACATGTTCACTGTTTAAATAAATCCATAAATATGTTCTTGTCAGCCTAGGCACTCATTATTTGGAATATGTCATTATACATTTTTCTTTTTAATTATACTTTTATTGAATATGTGATCTCATGTTTTTCATTGACAGTTACATATTTTGAATAAAAGAGAGTGAGAAAGAAAGGAAGGCAAAAAGGGAGGGAGAGGAAAGAGAGAAAAGTAGAGAATTGTGACTTTTGGCTTCTAGTTTTGTAGAAATTTGGTGTGCCTTATATTTCATTTATTTATTTTCTTTTTAGAAAATGGAATAATGTTTCCAGGTGTATTAAACAAAATTGCAAGGCCTCCATTTCATGTTTTAAAAGAACAAAAAATTTCTGTACACACATGCAAGGTGGTTGAACTGCATATCTGAAGGCATAATATCAAATTATTTATTCATGATAATGTGGACAAGACAGAAAGAACAATTTAGGTCTCATTCCAAAAGTCTATATACTCCTTAATAGTTTAAACTGACCAGTTCTTTTTTGTTCCACGCAAAGGTATCTCTGTTATGAAAACCAAATGCATTTCACTCTAAAATCTGTGATCTCAAAGAGATAACAAAGCCACCACCTTCAAGATGGGACAGAGGTATAATAGGTGCTGTTCTAGAATCTCCTGGCTCATGATTAAAGAAATCAATTAACAGCAATATAGTGATTAACAGTTTGGTAGCCTGGGTTTCCAGAGTAAATAATTTCCATTTTCACCACAGCAAGGATATCATAAAAGAAATACAATTTGTTATTTTGAAGTTAAAATTAGCTTTTTTGCCACCTATTGATGTTTTCAAAGACATGGCAAATCACTGAGGTTCATGGCTTTTCCAGTTTAGGTGAACATCATGCTATTGATTTCCAATATGAACACATTTATCTGAACATTGAAACAAAAAAATATGTATAGACATCTCTCCAAAGTGAAATCAAAATAATAAATCTTATCTCTGATAGGCTTAATATGGTTTGAAACATTATAAACAAAAAGAACTAGAATTGTTTCTTTTGTCCCTGTTTATCTTTGCTGCCCACTCACAAAGTGCCTTGCTGTATCTCATTAAAGAAGGGAAAAGAGGGCGAGGGATTTGACTCAGTGGTTCTGCCACCTGCCTTGCAAGTGCAAGGGCCCAAGTTTGATCCCCAGTACCAAAAAAAAAAAAAAAAAAGAGAGAGAGAGAGAAGAAAGAAAAAAAAGGTAGGTATATGATAACTTCTATTTGTATATGGAAATAAATGGTACAATTAACAACTGAATAAAGATCTGCAACTATAACCCTGAAGTCATCTCTTCCGAATTTTCCTGAAAATTATCTGGCAGTTATCTGGATTATCTGGAGTACTCTGTTTAGTACATCTACATCTATTGGACATTCAAGGCTATTTGTCTCCCCCCTTTCCATCTCTACAGTAAGTCTCTGACTTAGGAGCATTCAAATTGTGAACTTTCACAGATATGAGCTCTCATTATGATCATTTGTAATTGCAAACAAATTGTGGAAGTAGATCACATGTCACATTGTTACATTTGGGCTGCTATGTGCTTATGGTACAGTGTGATAGTGAACAGTATTACAGTGCTCAATCAGAGCCCAGGATGTCTGGAAGCATTATTTACAGCATTTTTGTGTGTGTGTTTAGTTTTCTTTATGCTTTACATTGTGTGTTTATGTCAAAGGTGTATAAGACTCACTTTGTCAGACTTAAAAACTAATACAACTTTCATTCTGCTGGAACAGAGCTCATTCATAAATTGGGGACTTACTGTACTACCATTGTCTTTTACATTTGATAAATATTTGCCCACTATATAATATTTAGTGATAGATGCTCTGTCTTGAATTTAACTTGGAGTTTTGTGACTATAGTGCTCATACTTCTAGTCTTAACCTAGCCAATACCATTCACCACAGAGCCACTAAATAATTTTAATGTCTAAAATATGGGACTCGAAGTGCTTCAGATTGCTTTATGGTTTGGGTCCATAAACATTAATACTATCACATATTTTTCAAAGAAATTATTACCAACTTCCACTCCAATATAATGTCCTTTTTCTTGTCTGGAGAATACCATTATTTACTGAAATACAAATGGCATGTTCTGAACTACACTGTTTGCAAAAGTCAACCTTTAGAGGTTGAGGCAGGAGGATCACTGAAAATTTGAGGCCAGCCTGGGCTATATAATGAGTTCAAGGTCAGCCTGAACTACACAATGAGACTTTGTCTCAAAACATAACAACCACAACAACAAAACTGACCTTTATGCCTCAGTTATTTTGGTCTTCTGGCTAATTGGTGGCAGAAAAAAGCCCCTATCTCCCACCTTTGATTGTGTACAACAGACAGATCCAACTGAGGACCAGGAATATTGAGCATATAGGACTTTATTTCTCAACCTTGAAAGAGCAGGTCACAGCCTAACAGGCAAGTAGGCACATCAAGGGCAGTTACAGCAAGCATGTTAACCCCTTGCACACAGGTCCCTTCCCCCAGTTCCTCACTGGCTGAGTTCTATGGGGGTTACAGTCTTCCTACTTACTGCTTAGATTTTATCAGGATGTAACTTTGGCTTGCCCTCACTGCAAACATTTTGTGCATTTAAAGGCAAATAATAAAGCTACAGATGGGCAACTTCTTAACTACTGGACCTTTCCAATCAGAGTGAGCATAGTGAAGCCATGCTTTATTGACTATAGACTCCTTCTTCCTTTGCTTAAGGACTCTTTCAGATGCATGACCTCAGACATGTCTTCAGGCAAGTGGGCAATTTCGTCTACTAGTGGTTTTCCACTCAGAGATAAAGACTTTATCTTGAAAATGGACTACTTTAAGTTCCTATTTCTTACAATTGGCTAATTTTTGCTCAATCTCCATGGCCTCGTAGTATGTTAAATGCCTTCATAACAACTTATGTTAATCTTTATCTTGGACTTACCACAATTCAATTTTATTTTAAATAAGCCTATTACTTTGAGACATCATAGAATCATAGTTACATTTCCCTTGACTCAAGATGGCTGCTACATACAACAGTAGCCTCCTTCCCATAATACTCTGAACCTTAAGATGGCTGCCAAATGGAATAGCAGCCTCCACATTAAATTTGTCTTCTCCTACCATGGTACAACCTTCTTCTTCCCATCATGTTTCTTTTCTTGTCAAAAGAGTAACCTAATACTTGATACCTTCAAGTAACCAGTGATGTCACAAGGCCCTCCTAGTGATGACACAGGCTCCCTTAATGCTACCTCACTCAACTCCACCCCAGTTCAGGTTAACCCCACCCTGCTCCTATAAAAGAAGTTCCCTGTTCTTCCATGATTCTTTTCCTTTATCAGGAGATAGTCCAGCAGGCTTGTTGTGGTCCTGGTCTGGTCCTGGTTTTTTGGCTCTTTTACCTAACACATACACAATGGTAAGAAATTATATAGAGAGATCCCATGTACTTTATGTCCATTTTTTCCTACCACAACAGCTTACAAAATTATAGCCCAGTATTAAATCATGATATTGTCATTGATATATTCCACTAATTTTATCCACATCTGTTCACATTTACTTGTTCTTTGTACATGTTTATTTATTTTCATGCAATTTCTATAAATGCATAGGTTTGTGTATATACCACACCAATCAAAATACAGAACAGTGATTTTTTATTTCAATAATGTTATGTTGATGAAATTAAGTATATAAGCTTTTGAGATTAAATCTATTTACAATGATAAAAGCAAGATATTAATAGATAGAGATACATACCCCATTAATGCATTAGAAAATTCTCCCCAGATTGATACAGTAGAATTCTTATCAATACCCCACCAAGATTTTTATAGATATTGATGAGCTCACTCTAAAATTTATATTAAAAGTCATAGTCCCTGTCATAGCTAAATTTTTTTAACACATGCATAGAATGGGAAAACTCACTGTATCTGATATAAAAGCTTACTACATATTTAAATTAGACAAGACATTGTGATATTGACAGAGGAACAGATATATAGACCAAGGGCACAGAATAAATAACCAAAAAGACATCTACAGATATGTCCTGGTTATTTATGGAAAAGATCAAAACTAATTCAATAAAAGAAAGATAATCTTTTCAATAAATGATGCGAGAGCCATTGGATATCTACAGAAAAAAGGAAAGAAAAAAAACCTGATCTCCTAGTCTAAATTTCATATATAAGTGATTATGAACTCCACTGTAAAATGTAAAACAACAAAAATTTAGAGAAAAAAAGCAATATTGAATTATTTTCAACATTTTCCCCAGTAGATTTTGAGTTACTGATAGTAAGAAATGATAGTAAGCAACATATCTCACTCATTTTGGTAAAACACTTTCTTGACTGACTCATGTCTCCCAACTGTAACCAATATCTTCACTGTTGACAGCCTACAGCATTATTTTATTATTATTATTATTATTATTATTATTACCATCATCATAATTATTATTAATAGTGATTTCCAAAATAAAAAGCAAAGCTTCCTGGAAACAAAATGTTATTGAATTAAAAATTTAGGTTTTCATTTTCTCAAATCAACTATAAAGAAATGGGTTTTGGTGTTGTCACAGGCCTCAGACTTCCTAATGTAAATCAGAAATATCTGTTGATAGTATAGATGACCACAAGTAGAGGAAGGGGGTACAAGCCAGCTAGAAAGAATAACAGGGAAGGGAGCTCAAGGTCACTTTCTCAGGAAAGAAATGGGCAGTCAAATCGACCCCAACTGTGCTTATTTGCACTTAAAGTGACAGCATTTACACCATCCCCTAGTGGAGTCTCCATATATAGATTCCCTTATCTGATACTTGCCTTTCAATTGTCACTACCCAAGATAAATTTCACATCCACAAAGAAAGTCCTTTACCTGAAAATTTTGCTACATCATCTTAATTGTCAAGTTGAGTGATGAATTTTCTTGTCTTACTCTTCTCTTACTACCATATGTCAAACATATTCATATCTCCATGTCTTTGGCGTATGTTATTCCTTCTCCCTGGATATCTCAAATTTCAACCATCTCCATCTCTTCCATCTATCCAAATCTGTCATCTTTCATGACTCACATCATAAAGTGCTCACAGAGCCCTTCCTGAAGCCTTCCAATCCACACATGTGTCCCTTCTGACACTCTGTAACACTCAGTTTTTACACATCACAGGCTACTTGTATTCAACTTAATTCTGTGTTTAACCTGTCCTAACAGTTTAATAAACTGTGAGATTAATGTTATTGATATATTTAGCAAATATTAAAAATTCCATTTTCTGATCAGATATATATTTGCCCACATACACACAGATATTTATAATCTTCAAATTGGTGCTTACATTGATTTTTATGAAAGGTTCTGTTACTTTGATTCACTTTCTCAAATATTCGGTTTTTATTTAATATATATGATGCTATCACACAGTAGGTTGTTAGGTAGGATTACAACTCTGTATGTGTATGTGTTTAGTTTGACTTTTTAGAAGTTTGACCCTAAAAAGCCTAGAAGAACTTGTAGTTCAGTGAATACAGTGTTTTTGGTAGCTTCAATAAATCATGAAATGTGTGATTTAGCACTTCGCATGATTACTGTGATTCACACATATTTGAATTCACGCTGATGCTCTGTGCTCAATTCAGTTAGATGCCAAAATTTAGAATTTGGGTGCATCGAAAATATTTTTCCCTTTTCTGTTTATCTGCTTGTTGTGATTGGTGATTACCAGCAGCTGCTATGTGCATTTGCTGATAATAGGAGATGTTTAGTGTCCTGTTTTCCAGTTTCCTTTGCTTCAAGCCCTCCATGATAATCAGCTTATCTGCATTTGGCTTTGACAAAACAAGATTATCTTTAACCCTGTGAGTTAGTTCTTCCATCATGGGTATAAATCCTTATGATTGGGCACATAGTGATACTGGCTGGAGAGCAGGCAAGAATAGTCCTCGTTTGGGTTCATTAATGGGAATTGGGTCCCACCCCTGGTAGAAAATATTTAGAGAACTTGGTTATAACACATGCTTGTCTGCATGTCCCCTCATTGTTGACTGATTCCTGAAGTTGGAGGACTATTTCCTAATAGCACTAATAGCTTTCTGAGAAGAAAGCCTAACCATCAGCCAAAACTCTATAAAGAGCTACCCAGAGGCCCTTCAGATTTACAAGTAAAGTTACCAGTGTAAGTGTAATGTCTCCCAGTTGTTTAGCTGACTTCTGTCTGCTTTGCATAACTTAGTCATGATATGGGATCCAGGTTGGTTTATCTTACTTAAAGCAAAGACAAAACCCTCATTCAGTTTCAGTTTGTGTTGCTGTCAGATATCTTTGTGCCAGAGTAGGTATCCAACAGGAGCTAAGGTAAGATAAAAGACAAATTCACTGACTGAGAATGATGAACTTCAGTCCCCTTAAGGTAAGACCATCATAGCTCTTAAACAAAGCTCATGTCATTTAAAGCATGTTAAAACGATATAAAAAAAAAGTTGTTTCCTCATGCTTACCTTTTAACAATTTAATATATTAAAATATTTATCTATGTCACAGATATCTGCTCAGTAATCAAGAATATACTAAATACTTCTAAAGCAATTCTTGGTTAACTATAGATCAGTTTCACTGCATTTACTCCCACTGTTACTGGTTTCTAACATTCAGTGCATATTTGTGTCAAACACCTGCTGCCTAATTCACACCTAACACTGATTAAACCATTTCTCTGGGAATTCAAAATATTTTTTAAAGCTTATGATGGTTCCAATGAGGAGTCATGCATAAGAACCAAACATCACTCAGTCACTCCAGCTGTCATATCAAAATAGGTATCTCTTCTGGTTTAGGGCATAGACAAAAATCTCTAATTTGTGTTATACACATACAAACATATGTGTACCATTTATGTATATATGTATATGTATAAATATACAAGTATACATATATGTGCTTCTTAGTACCAATAGCTCCTAGTGGACCTTTCATCATGCTTCTCTCCAGTTAGTGTTTAAATATATGCGAAATGTTTGTTAAAGTCTAATGGCATAGTAAATCTTTTTACTCAAATCTCCTAATCTTCTGTCCCTCTATATCTCATCAAAGCCATGTTGGCTTCTCTGTTAGCTTTAAATATTGGAAGCATTTTGTTCTATTTGTCAGGTGAAATTACTAGGCCTAACAATGGTCTCTAACTTACAACATTAGAAATCACACGTCTTGTAATTAGGGTCAGGCAGGGGGTAAAATATTAAATAATACAAAATTAGGAAAAGACCTCCAGAGATTTTCTGTGATGTTAAACAACACTGAATCTCAATATACAAGTTTTATAGCATCTTTGTGAATCTTGCTTCCTGCTGACTTAGGTTCATTTCCTAACACCAGTTTTATGAGAAGTATCTAGAAAGATGAAATTTAAAAATTACCATTTAGCTCCTATTTTTTCCTCCAATAACTGCAGATCAATAACAATGTGCACTCATGTTGTAAAGACAGACTCACCCTATTTTGGAGGGTTAATTTAGACACATATCCTTGAGATGTCAATATTAGTTACCAGATAGGAGATACTAAAAGAGCTTTCATTTACAGTTTTATTTATTTCTTTTGATTGGTTGTGATTGTCATTTTTGTTATTCATTTTGAAAAATATCTACTAAATAAACACTTGCGATGAGTTCCAATTTTAATATACTACATTTTTCATGCAGCAAAGTCTTCTTTCCACTCTTCCAAAGTCCCTACTAACGTATAACCTCTGACAATCTGAATTCAACAAGAATTGAAAATATAGCCATGGTCATAAATGCAGACTACTGTACACATGTATATATTTGCATAATTCTTTGTGTGTAAGACTCTCTATGTATTTATATATAGCAATAGAAAAAGGTACTTTTTTTCTTCTCTATTTCAATAAGGACACTGAATATATTCACTCAATACAGGACAGAATGCTACTGATGGAAATGATGGTGCCAAGGGGAAACAGGTCACACACTGAGCATGCAATGCTGTAGAAACAGATGCAGCTAGATGTCCTCTGATACAATTCCAATTTTTTGTTTTTTGTTTTTTGGGGGTTTCTTTGTTACCCGAGATCAAATGATACAATTGAATTTTGACAGTATCTACTTGGA